GTGGGGCGCCGCCCTCGCCCTGCTCCTGGCCGTGCTCGCCCTGCTTGGCCTGCTCTCCCGGCGGCTGCGGCGCCCGCAGAGGCGCGCCGTCGGAGCCAGGACCTTGCCGGGGGCCCGGGGCCAGGACGACGGCGAGGAGGCGGGCAGCGGGAGCCTGGCGGATGAGTGGAGCGGCGCGCGCGAGCCGCTGCCCGGAGGGTGCAGGCTCATCTGCAAGCCGTCGGCGCTGGCCCAGTGCCTGCTGCGCGCCTTGCGACGCTCGGCAGCCCTGGAGCCCGGCCCGCGCTCCTGGCTCTCCGGGCCCCACCTGCAGACCCTCTGCCACTTCGTGTTGCCGGTGGGGCCAGGGCCCGAGCTGGCCCGGGAGTACCTGCAGTTGGCGGACGACGGGCTGGTGGCCCTGGACTGGGTGGTGGGACCTTGTGCCCGGGGCCGCCGGGTCACCAACGCCGGGGGCCTTCCCGCGGTGCTGTTGGTGATACCCAATGCGTGGGGCCGCCTCACCCGCAACGTGCTCGGCCTCTGCCTGCTCGCCCTGGAGCGCGGCTACTACCCTGTCATCTTCCACCGCCGCGGCCACCACGGCTGCCCGCTGGTCAGTCCCCGGCTGCAGCCTTTCGGAGACCCGTCGGACCTCAAGGAAGCGGTCACTTACATCCGCTTCCGACACCCGGCGGCCCCGCTGTTCGCTGTGAGCGAGGGCTCGGGCTCGGCGCTGCTGCTGTCCTACCTGGGCGAGTGCGGCTCCTCTAGCTACGTGACGGGTGCCGCCTGCATCTCGCCGGTGCTGCGCTGCCGCGAATGGTTTGAAGCCGGCCTGCCCTGGCCCTACGAGTGGGGCTTTCTGCTCCACCAGAAGATCGCCCTCAGCAGGTGGGTAACTTAGGCGGCAGGCGGGCAGCGGGGGGGATGAGGGTTTGGGGCTGACGGAGACACAGCCTGGTATTGAATGAAGAAACAGATTTGGGGCAATTTGGGCAAAGTTCACCTCACACACTTTCGGAAGCTGTCCAGACCTTTTAGTCTAGACAGAACCAGGGAAGCGGGTTTAAACGCAGGAGAGGACTCAGCATCGTGATGCTAGAGCGGCGATTCCTGCCCTGGGCCCCCTGGCCTCACCTCAGCCCCGCGGTGTCCTAGCAACCTGAGCACCTGCCTCACCCGCAGCAGAGGCAGCACCTGACATTTACCACTTAGTCCACAGCTTGTCAAATCAGCAAAGAGGGCTCTGGAAGCAATTGCAACTGATTGTCCAGAATATTTCCCTATAGTCTCTGAGCCTGGAGGTGACAGGAATCAGAAATTTGGTGTCATTTGATTTATTACAATTGTTTAGACCTGACAAATGGTTTGCAATATTCCTAGGCATGGACTCAATATTTAATGCAAAAATTGAAAGAATATTTAAACATAATTTTTAAAACTCTCCAAAAAGAGAACAATCTACCCTACCACCAGGGTGACAGATGAGACTTTTCCACTGAGAAGACCTGAGTGACATTTCTACAGCACATAACCAGGCCTCAGCTTGCCTTGCTATTTTCCTAGGAAATGGCAGACGGAGGTCAAAGACATTATGGCGACAGTGTGGTGTGGCAGAAAGACCTGGGATATGGGGTCAGGCCCACTTGGCTCAAATCCTAAATTTCCAGCAAGTTAGTTAACCCTTGGGAGCTTCATTTCCCTCTTCAGTTAAATGAAGTTAATAACTACCTCCCAAGGTGGTTATAAGCATGAAATGAGGGCCTGGCACTGAGTAGGTGCTCAATAAATGGTGGCAATTGTGATTTCTCTTTCTTTTCTTGCCCCATTTTGCCTCCTGTTCTAAGAAGATCAAACCCTGAGCTCAACAACAGCATGCTGCCATGGCAACCCAGCGCTGCCAGAGCCATCCAGGGGCAAGGTGCTCTCATATGGCTTAATTGCCAGTTTCCTCTCCCCAAATGACCACCACTAGCATTGACCCTGGTACCAGCTGGAGGATACGCTGAGGGAAGTAGAGAGGAAAGCTGACCCTTTAGGAACTGCCCTGCCCATGGAGGTTTGGAATTAAAAACTCAGGGCAAGCCCTCTTTGAATCTTCGCAGGAGACCCTCATCCAAATTCAACAGGCTAATGATGGCTTGATCCACCCAAAGGTCTGACCTGCCCATCCTGGCCTTCTTGTCAGGATGCAAAGCCCTCTCCAGGGAGGTGGCAACAGCAAAGCTGCCCCTCTTCCCAAAGCAGTTGCTCAGGCCCCATTTGGTAATCACCCTGTAAATTAATCACATGCCTGGTCACTTCTGCCACCCATTTCTCTCTAGGAATATCTGCCCCACTGATCAAGGTCACAGTCATTTGTTATGATCTGGATAGCATATAAGCTTTTAGAACACAAACAAACAAATTAATACAACCTAAAGTAAAATGTTAATGATAGGGTGTGGGGGGGTGACACCTGCTGATTTCGAGTCTGAGCCAATGAGTTTTTCTAGGAGGGATTCAGGAGGTGACAGTTCAGAGCAAGTTCTCTACAGAGGGTCAGGAAGAGAGCTGTGACTCTAGCTCAGCGGCTGTAAAGTCAAATGCTGCCCAAGGACTGGGCAGGTAATGCCATAAGTGACAGGCCTGGTAGGAGCTGTGACACAGGAAGGAGGGAGGAAATGGCCTGATTGTTCCCCTCAGGAATGCCAGCCCATGTCGCTGGATCCTCTCATTTCCCTAGTGGAGCCAGATAGCTGCATTTTATGTGACATCTCCTGATTTTAAATAATGACAATGAACTGGAAGTTAAAAAACAAACAAACACTCTATGGCCAAAGAAAGCTTCTGTGGCCAGAATCCGACCTGTGGGCTGTCACTGTATAACTTCTGCTGTTAATTTGTTTTCTGATTCTTCCCTTTCATTCCTATTTTCCCCATTCACCTTCCTGCTTCCAGGTATGCCACGGGCCTGGAGGACACCGTAGACACCCGCAAACTGTTCAGGAGCCGCTCCCTGCGAGAATTTGAGGAGACCCTCTTCTGCCACACTAAGAGTTTCCCCATCAGCTGGGACACCTACTGGGACCACAATGACCCCCTCCGGGATGTGGACGAGGCCGCTGTCCCTGTGCTGTGTATCTGCAGTGCTGATGACCCTGTGTGCGGGCCCCCAGACCACTTTCTGCCCACTGAACTCTTTCACAGCAACCCCTACTTCTTCCTCTTGCTCAGCCGCCATGGAGGCCACTGCGGCTTCCTGCGTCCGGAGCCCTTGCCAGCCTGGAGCCACGAGGTCATCTTGGAGTATTTCCGAGCCTTGACTGAATTCTTCCGAACAGAAGAGAGGATAAAAGGGCTGAGCAGGCGCCGAGCTTCGTTTCTAGGGGGCCGGCGTCGCTGGGGAACCCTGCAGAAGCGGGAGGCCTCTCAGTCTTCCAGCCTGGAAGAAATCTTTAGCTGGAAGCGATCATATACAAGGTGAGACCTGGCCCAAGAACCCGCCTGTCCTGCAAGGAAGAAAAAAACTGGGCACGGCAGAGTCCTGAAGAGGAGGTGAGGACTGCATGGAGCAAGCGGCTCCAGCTTCTTGGCCCCTGATTTAGCCCCTTCTCTCTTAAAAGTGATCCGTGGAAAGAGGTGGCACTTCCAGCTAGCTGGCTCTCACTTACCTTGAGCAGAACTCCTGCCCAGGCTCTGCTCAGCACATCCCTGCTCCTCCTGGTCAGCAGCTGGGCACTCTCCATCATGGTCCCCTGTCACCCACCTCATCAGTCAAAGAATAGCGCCATGTAAGCCCTTGGACTCGGGAGAAAATGCTCTCTCGCCAGCAACGACTACAAAGAGGAGTTCTGTATGTCATTGGGTAGCTCTGTCCCAGATAACTACTCAGCTCTGTGACTCTGACTCGCATGCTGGAGCCACTTGATGTAGAGAGGACAGGATGTTTGTGTCTCGGTCCCACTTCCTTCATTGCGTCCTGCGGTGGTGACATTCTGACTTCATGCAGTGGCAGCTGTGGAAGCGGGCTCACGGGGGCCACGGGGCTGCATCAGTCTAGCATGAGGTTGACAAAGGTGGCAGAGGCAGTAAGGGCAGTGGGTGAGACTGTGTGGGTGAGAGCGGCAAGGTAGAGGGTATGAAGGCCTGTTTCTGGAATATTAAGGCCCAGCCTTTCAGACAATTCCTGCAAGTCCCAGCGGGAATGGGGCTGGTCTGCAGCTTCAGCCTAGAACCTTGAGAGTCACTGGACAGATGCCAAGAATGATTTTAGGGACAGGAAGTCCTTGCACACAATCTGCAGCTAGACCACGGCTCAAGGAGCCAGATTCTCAGGCACTCTCGCTGCTCCCTCTGGTACCATTTCTGGGGATTACTCCGGGGAGCCCCAGCCAGAGCTGTTTTCCTCCTGATGGGGGCTTTCTCTAAGTGGTGAAAAGTACAAACCTCATATCTTAGCTGTTTTCAGGTTAGCTATCCTCTTTTCTGCCATTACTACTAGCCTCTCCCTCTCCAGAACCTGGAGAGACATCTGGGACCAGAGAAAATAAAAGTTCTAAGAGGTTGGTTAGAGCTGACTCAGCAATTTATGAATATTTCACATTACTGTGTTTTTTTCTGCTCAATTATTCAAAAGGCCATCCACGTAGATGCAGAAGACGCTTCTTCCTGGACCTGGCCGCTCAGTGACTGAGTGGGTGTTTGGTTTTATGAGGAATAATGCCAGAGTAGAGTAAGGCATTGTACAGATTGGTCCACACATCCTGGTTTGGATCAGGCCATTCAACAGTACAACTGGCCATCTGGTTCCATGTGCTGCTAAGAGCTTTGCCCTGAAGCTTTATTTTAATTTGTCATTGAGAAAGAGGGCACCTGTTTGGACAGGAACCTCTATCCTGGTCTCACAAACAGCAAAGCAATTTTAAAGAGGAGAGATGTTTACTGATGCCATATTCTAAAGGCTTGGTATGAGGACTCCCTGAGGCCATGATTTCAGGTTTCCGTAATCTTGAGCCTTGTTCTTCTAAATAAGAAGAAACTCAACTATCTAAGAATCTAAACTGAGATGCAGACAACACTCAATTGTCTAAGGTACATTCTCATGTCATGAAAAAAGTTCCCTCCCTCCTTTCCCACTTCTTGCTCCCCAACATTCCTCCTCTAACGTTCTTTCACCATTTCTGAGTAGGAGAAATAACAAGGAACTGAAATCTAAAGAAGCCATTCTCCTGCTGGTGAACAGCCTCCGGGGCTTGCTTGGGGAGGGAAAATTGAGGACATCAGGCCATGCCCCTCCCCCAATACCTGGTACAGGTGGGAATTTCAGCTAATTAGGGTCCTGCAGTCCTGGAAGCAAGACCCTAGGTTCATTCAGAGCTGACTGCAAAATGAGAAGGAGCCCAATGGTTTTTAAACCCCTCCCGCCCCCCAGCTTAAATGGCCCCAAAGAGCTAAATCTGTATTGTTTATCTAGGCCAGATACCACAGGACTCTGGTTCTTTAAGATAATAGCTTTTGGAGAAATTGTGGTTGGTTTTCCTGTCCTTTTTTTTTTTTTTTCTTTAATAGGTAAGAAAGCCTGTGGAGGGGATATATATGATCTTAAAGCTCTCAGAACAGCCCTAATCCAGGCTCCATTAATTCTCTTGAACCCACAGCCCTAATGACCTAAACCCTTAAGCATTTCTCCTGCATGTCCCTTGCCCCAGATGTGCTCATAGCCCATCTCAGAAAGCTACGTCTCTCTTTTCTTCCCCTCACTGCTTGATAACATCACTGCTTTTCAGCTCATTTTTGCCAAGAAAGGGTAGTTTCCTGTTCAGGTAGATTTGGGAGACCTTGTCCTTCAGTCTAATGGTGAAGGAATTGCCCCAGTCGACTCTGCTTTGGCTAATAGCTAATTATATGAAGCCAGCTGTAGGAACACCAGACACACGATTCTGAGACATATGTGGCCCTTGAACAAAATGACAAATTATGAGTTTGAGAAAGCAAGAAACAAACAGCAAAACCAAACCAAACCCAAAGAAGTACCATTGAGTTGGAGTTTTCCAAGGAACAAGTCTTTAGCCACCCTCTCAGGCCTCATTCACTTGCTTGCTTCCCTTTTGGCCTCTTCATTATTTATAAACACCTTCAAATGGTAAGAAAACAAAAACAGAAACACCCCAGTGATTTAAAGGAGGCATTCTCTCAGAAGCAGAGACTGAGTCCTCTGTCTGTACCCACTGGATCAGATAGATCAGAATGCAGGAAGCAGGCAACTGCCTCTGAAGGTTTGAGCTCTACCAAGTTCTGACCTCCGATACTGATGATTCTGCTAAGCTACAACTTAATTCTCTTAAAGATGTAAGGTTTTATGTATTTATACATAGGTTTCCAGGGTGGCTTGGGTGGAGACAACAGTATGCAAAAGAAAGCACCCAATCCTCACTCTGAGAAGACATCATCTGTGTTTAGAGTGAAGACATACTGCCTAACACTTGAGGACTGCTAGATGAGAGGTCTAGACACAGCAAGTGTTATCTTGGCTTCATAAAGAACCTCAAAACCACCCCCGAGTCAGAAGCTCGTCTGTACTCATCTTCTACCTAGACCACAAGATCCCATCACCCTCGGTGATGCCAAGGACTCTACCTTTACAAATGAACTTCAGCACGAATTCACCTCCCTGCTTAAATGAGCAGATACACTGGGCCACTTTGGTTGAATTTTGTAACAATGCCAATAGGAGTATTTGTGATTCTACAGCCAAGCCACCAAGGATGGCATCAGACACTGTTTTCATAGTTATCACAACTGGCAAAATAAGATTGAGGAATTATACCTAAGGAGTATCCGAGTGCCCGGATAAGGAAAACTCCAACTCAAGAAGCTGTAAGTCCCGCGTCATCGGTGGGCTATGCAAGCTAGACTGCCACTTGGCACGCATCATGTAGGGGACATGTTCCAAGAGATAAGAGTAGCCTACGTTACATACAAGGTCTCTTCTCATCTGGGAATCGGTGAGTTAAAATAATGCTTTTGAGCTCAGTGGGTTCTGGTTGATTTACGGGCTTAAGGATCAGGATTCACAGACCTGATCTGGATTCTGGGACTTGGGAGACTACATAAAGATTTTAATGAAAATAATCCTGCCAAAGTGACCACAGGATGTTTTTAAGATATTCAATAATTATGCTCTGAGGTGTCCAGGAAAAGCTAAACATTTGAAGGAAAAGTGGAATTTCATTAAAACAAACAATAAAAAACACTAACACATCCAAAACCAACGCCTCGAGCCCCTCCGGCCTTCCTGCGTAAGAAGGCAATACCGTTATTACTAGTGTGGCTGAACAAAACTCTCTCCAACTTGTTTTCCTCTGAATAGTAAATAAATCGCAGTCTCCCTGCAACAATGGAATGTCATTATTTTTTAAATCTCCAGAAACAAAATGTGCTGTTTATCTTCTGAAGTCCTCTGTGTACTAAGCCATGCTTACCTACCTGTGGATGACGACTGTCTCTGCACATTCTCTATTTGCTGGTTGTTGCTTCACTTTTGTAGATCTAGCCTTGGGTCCTCTCACACGAACCAGTGGCAGGTCTGTTTAATCAACAACCAGGCCTCCTGCTCTGGGCTAATAATTTCTCAGCAGGCTCAAAATTCTCCAATCATCAATGGTACCTACACAGATATTTTCCAAGGGGCAATTTGTGTGTTGGTGAGAGTGCTGAAGTAATTTGCAGATGTGGGTTCTAGTTTCTAGTTCATCAGTGACTCCTATGACCTTGGAAGATTATGAGTTCCATGTGAAAAGGCTGAGACTGTGAATAGGCGTTAATTTAGGAAGTCTGTTAGGATATGTGACATAGTGAAAGCCGGTAGGTCCCATTCTCTATGTCTATTTAATACCCCAGCTGGAGTTCAAAGACCTTTCTGGTGAGGTGGCATCTGCTTTCACATCAAAATCTATTCTCCAATCCAAGAAGTTCCAGTTATTAACTCCACTGCTAAATTGGGAAGGGCCTGAAGAGCAGGGTCCTGGGTTACCCAACTAAGGGCAATCTTCCCACCTACGGCCCAAACACACACACACTCACTCACTCAAAGAACCGTGTTATGGCTAATAGGTTCACTTGTTCCAGCCAAAACCCATCTGTTTTCCTATTTCTTATAGACAAAGTTTCAGAGTCGATATGACTTTTAAGATCTCTAGTACACTGGGGCTAAAGACCAGAACCCAGATCAGTGCTCTTCATGCCACACTGAGATGACAGTACATAATGCTCGTTTTAGACTCCAAGATGTAAAGGGTGTTAACAAAGGGGAATTTGTCTTCAGGGCTGCTGTCTTCAAGGCATACACTTCAGGGTGTATGCCTCCATGGGGAAGCCATACACATTAATTATAAATGACAGCCCTGAAGTCATTTTATAGCTTGCATAGCCTTAGCACCCTCAGCAGCCTTGTTTCCCTCTGTCCATTAAGGACAAGTACTTGAAAATATAGTAGCAATTAAAGTCAGTAATTGCCCACGATGCATACAGAAAACCCGGGTTCTGCATGCAGCTGGTATCACTGAGATGTAGGTGATAGCACTAGCTTATAGCCACTGGGGCTGTGGAGCTAGCCAACCACTATGGTAAATTTGTATTTATGTTCATATTTCTTTTACAGTCAAGTACGATAGGTTTTAAACGCTAAGCATAACTCAGAACATCTTTGATGTGTTTAGCCAATGACATTTTGTGTTTTGTGTTGACCCAGGATACAGGCTAGAAGCACATGTTTTCTGGTAGTCTCCTTCCACTGTAGTTTGAAGAGCCCAATTGTGGGGATAAAGCAGAAAGAAATCTTTTTTTTTTAAATCCTTTCTGAGTTCCTCCAAATTCAAGGTGGGATGGTGGAAATGTGGATAGGAGACCTGGGGTCTAATCCTGGCACTGCCATTTAGTTGTCTGACCCAGGCAAATTAAACATTATATATAAATGTTAATATCAAAATAGCTCAATATCAACATTCTGGGAGTAAAAAAGCTGTACTAAAAAGTTAAAAGTACCGTTTTCCTGATAAGTCTTCTATTCAATGAAACAGGTACTGCTAATTATACTTTTAAAAATGACACTTAAAATTATCTTCTAGTTTTTTAAATCAGAAAACACATAAACCCCAGTCCATGAAATGCCTCCCTCCAAGTTAACCTCCTGACAAAAATGTCACTTTACAGTGTTTTAAACAACAGAACTGGGTTAGATCTTCTGCCCCTTTTAGGGCTAAAATGTGATGATTTTCAAATTGGGGAAGATAAACCCAGATGAAACCACCTTTTGAAGCTTTGTACAAGGTTTAAGAACTGCATACATCTATATGTCCACGTGTGGAAGGAGTTGTAGTTATATAGACCACAACAGGTCAATATAAAACTTAAGGACCTGCATTAAACTGTTAGAACCTAAAGAAGAATCATCTCACACACACAACACAATAGGCCACTTCACTCTCTGAGCAAACAGAATTCAAGGCAATTAGACTATAGGGTTTATGTCTATATCAGTATCTTAGTCATTTTTATAACCCCAACATCCAGTACTGTGCCTGAGATTCAGTAATTATCCACTGCATTGAAATATGAGGTTGGACAATTAAGTTCATGAACTCATTCTAGAAAAAGTGCTACATACCTCATTGCTGAATATCACTATGGTCACCTTCAAAGTACTCCCCTTGGGAAGCTATGCACCAAAGCCAGTGCCTAGTCCACCCTTCAAAGGAATTTTGAAACTCTTTTTCTGGAATGGCCATCAGAGCTGTGGTCGTATCACCCTTGATGTCTTGAATGTCATCCAAATGTCTTCCTTTCAATATTTCCTTTATCTTTGGGTAAAGAAAGAAGTTACTGGGGACCAGATCAAGTGAGTAGGGAGGGTGTTCCAATACAGTTATTTGTTTACTGGCTAAAAACTCCCTCACAGGCAGTGCCGTGTGAGCTGGTGCATTGTTGTGATGCAAGAGCCATGAATTGTTGGCGAGAAGTTCAGATCGTCTAACTTTTTCACACAGCCTTTTCAGCACTTCCAAATAGCAAACTTGGTTAACTGTTGGTCCAGTTGGTACAAATTCATAATGAATAATCCCTCTAATATCAAAAAAAGGTTAGCAACATTATTGCAACAAGTTCGTGAAATTAATTGTCAGACCTTGTCTACTTTATGGGAATAAAATTACTTAAAAAAACTGAACAGACACTCTGTGTACTAAAATTACTTTATTACAGTTGATTTTTTAAACATTTCCTTTGCTATGATACAAAGGATACTTACAAACAAAATATTACATATGACCTTGTTTTCGCTCTTATGTTCTGACAACTTGGTAACAGCTTTAAATGCACAATCTATACAATTAATACAGGTTATATATGAACTATAAGGTATGTTGAACCAGAAGAATACTGACAATATACTGTACAATAAGCCTTACCAGTTAGTGCTGTGGACCATTTCTACCAAAAGGAAAATGCACATCTGTACAGTCACCTTTCCCAGCTGGTGCTGACAGTGAGGGGGAGGCTTCTTCCCCATTGCAGCCCTTGATAAGCCTCCACTGTGGGCGTCTGTTTGGTCCGAAAATTGAGAGGACTGTGTATATTCAAAATTAGTCATCGGTAAAGTGGCAGAACATCATTTTCAACATGATAATTGCTCACCAAAAAAAAAAAAAAATCAGTCCTGGTTTTAAAAGACCACAAGTCCTTCGTCCACTACAAAAACCCTACAGGCTCAAGGGCTTTAGGAGATGAGAAGATGAAGGCTGCCAAAAAAGGAGGCAAGAAACCAAGCCAAAATCTAGGTCTTGCAAAATCATTTTTCCCTTCACCAAAGGGAAATAGAAATGTACAAATTCATTGATGAACCTCAATGATAACATATCAGTTAGCTGATAACCCTCATTTTATCTGGACCCCTGACTTGTGGGAATAACTGAAAGAGATTGTGAATAATATATACCACTTTTAGAAAAGAACCTCTTGCTTAGTTAAAATATTCCCTTTAGCCACCAAAGCTGGTCCTGGGCTATTACAGGTGTGCATTCATCTCTCAATGGTCTACTCAGAAATGATAAGGTTACAGCTTTTTTTCTTTTCTTTTTTCTTTTTTAAATAAAAAAAGCAATTGACTGAAGCATTTTTCTTTTTTTAGGTAAATAGCAAAAATAAAAATAAAAACCAACCCTGGCATTTGCACAAATAATGCAAATGAAGCGATATGGCCTTTAAGGTAAGGGGTTAGTAGAAAGGAAGGGAGACGTGAAGAGAATCCAGAGAAAATGATGTATTAATTTTTCTTTTTAAAAATTTCTACAATACATGTGCAAAAAAATCATGCTGGTTGAGGAAAACAAATGGAAATGAGTACATAAAACTAAAAACATAAATAATATGTTTGGATGACTGGTAAAAGCAGAAACCAACCTGGGTTACAAAAAAAAAAAGGATTATACATTCAAGATGCTCTTAAACCCAGTGGGATAACTTATGTTAAAACTGTTAATAATTACGTTAAAAATCTCAAGTTTGTTTTTAAATCTTCACAATACAAGCAAAGCTGTTTTAAAATATACACTATACATATTTCTCATAGTCTCTCCAACCTCATTAATGCGCATTAGGCTATCTCTTTCATATACTAAAACCAGGGTTTCTGAAAGCTAAATTGCTCAGAGTAACCCATCCATTATTTAAATGTTTTGTCTTAAGTTTTAAATGGGTTAAAAAGTTTAGCAGACTTACATAAATAAGATTTAGCAACACAAGTGTTAATTTAAAAAACTCTAAAGCATTTACAAATTATCAGGTTGGAATAGTCTGGGGAAGTTATGTGCACTATACTTTAAAATGTTATTTACATCAGACCATTGCTTTTGTAAAAATTTCCCTAAAAGATAAAAAAAAACAAAATAAAGGATCGTTAAAGGGAAGGTAAAATAAGGACAGAATTATCTCCTCATAGAAACCCCACATATCCCTCTCCACATGGATTTTGCTCTAGGAAACCACCTGCAACTCCTAATAGGCTCATATATCAAGTGTCAATAATGTGGTAAAATACCTTGTTAGATCAATTACTGGCCTCAAGTGGACTTTTTTTTTTCTTTTTAAAAAATTTCCCACCTTGTGTCTCTGGCTTGGATTATTTTAGGATACATGTATATAATTAACTGGACGGGCACTCTAAGTAGGCACAATTCCCATTTAATGTGGAATAAAAGGTATAACATATAAAATGCTGCTGGGGAGAAGGGGTGGTAGTTTCTGTGATATTATGAAATGCAAAGAAGCACATTTGGAATGGACGCCAAAAAAGAGCTGTCTGGCAACACACCAGGGGCAGCCAACACCTTAAACTAAAT